TGGCAAAAATCACTACTTGGATGAGTGTATGGTTAGCATTATCAATTACCAAAATGGCATTATAGACAATGGTGACACTTAGTGATGGGAACTGTCACCTGACACAAAATATCTTAAAAGAAAAGTGTATACCGGATAAATGCCAAATTTTATACAAATCTAAGGGAGAATCTTTAAAATATTTACTACCAAATGCGGATATGTTAACACCAGTTTTGAATATGATAATGTCAAATGAAAAATACTGAGTTTCTGGTTACAATGAAATCAAAAAATCAGGAAGGTATAACTTTTTTTTTTTATATATGTTGGTGTATTAATAGTTGTCAACAAGATGCTACTGGACTGGAGCATTTCCAATGATGTATGCATACAGGATACTATTTTCATTTGAAGAATGTACACAGTATGGTAACAGAAACAGGAAGTGACCACTTTTAGTTTGGCCATGAAAAGAAATATGTGTCGGCATGGAAAATCTATGCAAGGTTGGGGTACCCAAAAAACATCATTTTTTTTCTATTTGGCCTAATTATCCAAGGATGTTTGCATATCTCTAGGAATACCAATAACATTATATACCAGGGGGTAAATATGAATTCTAGGTTGCAAAGGTATATATATGGGGAGCACCATGCTGTGGCTATCTCATCACACCACAGTCTGATTGTAATCTGATGTAGGTATAGTATAATTTTGTTTTCATTTTTAGATATTTTTCATTGTTATTTCTGTTTATTTATGAATATTATTAATTAATAAGTTATTCATATATCATATTCTGGTAATTAAGGCTACCAGATTTGATATACTAAAAAAATAACAACTGCAAGAGTAACCAAAAAATATTCATAAATAAACAAAAATAACAATAAAATATATAAAAAAATGTAGCCTTACTTACATCAGATTGTAATGAATCAGATTAATCACACTATACACAAAGAAAACAGTACTATCATAAAAGTCAAGTAAATATTGAAATTACAGACATTAGATATTTCTCAATGACTTCATAACATACCTATAATCATTTGAAAATTCCTTCATTTGGTATCTCCAGGAATACCAGAATTCTGGGAAGCCATGGACCAATAGCATCAGTGGTTTATTTGTATCACCATTGGCAACATAGTGGATTTTTAGCTCCTTGAAAAATAAACAGTGAATAGCTAATGAGTGGTATGCATTTAGTACTAAATTACATGTACTAACATTTTCAGTATTAAATCATAATATTTATGTTTGTTGTTAAAACATAATTTTTACTTATGATAAATTATTCAAACAAGTCATTGAAATCATTGACACATTCCCCGTTAAATTAAGTTCCCTTTGTGCTCGTCATATTAAAGCGGAGGGGTTGTCGCGAGCGTATCCTTGAAACTTGAGTTCCAAGTGGCGTATACAACAGATTGTTTATTTACATCGAAACACGTGTTCCATGTAGTAGTAATATGGCCAAAAATAAAAACAGCCGTTATTTGGCCATCTTTGATCTGATTATGAAACACACTGATATGTATGATGTATGTGCCAAATATGAATGAAAATGGTACATAAATTGTGGAAATATAGTAGTAAGGCCAAAAAGTCAGATGGCTGTCAATTGGCCATCCTTGACCAGATTTTGAAACAAATTTTCATGGACATGCATCCTAACATGTATAAAGTACATGTATGTGCCAAATTTGAATGAAAACTGACAGAGCACGTCCAAGATAACGCATAAAAAAAAAAACAAGATGCCTGCCAGTCAACCATCTTTGATCCAATTGGGAAATAAATCGTCATGGACATGTATCCTAACATGTATAATCTATGTAGCAAGTTTGAATGACAACTGACAAAGCATGTTCAAAATACAACATTTTCAAAAAACAAGATGGCTGCCAGTCA